TGAGTCTCCCTCCAAGGAATTGGATGAAGCTTACACATATAAGATGTGCAAGGACGACTTCGACACGGTGACTATTCCTCCTATTGAGCCAATATCCAAGGTGCCTTCGAAGCTATGCATATCTTTTGACAAAGCTACTAGATTCCAGAATCAACATCTGCCAGCATTTAAAGCGTGGAAATTCCCCTTACATCACATGGACCCCTTTATATGAGCGCCGGACTTAGATGAGAATATAAAACTGGTCAACGACTCTCGGAACAAGGTTTACAAGGTGGAGGATAAAAAGTTGGCCCTACTTGATACCGCGACGAGGAGATCCTTCTTCGGATTAGCGAGATCCAGAGCAATCAATGAGGCATTGGTTAACAAGTTCCAGAACCCCAGTTCGGAAGAAGATAGGATGATATTATCTGCTCTGCTCACTCAGAAGAAGGACCAATACTTCATATCGGATCATTTGGCCTCAACGTCAGCGGGTCTCACCTTGTTACGGAGACAGGGTCTACCGGCATTGTGTTCCTGGAGTGACAGATTTACCCAACCGCTACTTAGAGGTCCTTGGGCGGCGCCTACCATCTTCGGAGGTGAGGTAGATGAAGCAGCTAAGGAAGCTACTCACGACTCATGGGAAGTCATGATGATCAAGTCTATAGATACTCTAGCCGACGTCATTCGTCATACTTCACAGAAGTACAACAGCAAGTCGAAATATTCCAGTATCCAGAAGGCTAAGGAGAAGAAATACTCCAGCTTCCGAGGCGAAAAGCTCTTTTCGTTGCCCATCCGGAAACTACAGAGGAAACTCAGGGAGAGAACGTACTCCCAGAGGTTTCAGAGGGGCTAGACGTTGAAATTGGGGTTCGCAACGACTGGATGCTTCAAGCCCCAGCCGTTTCTGTACAACCATCGAGTGGGTGGACGTCTACAAAGGTACTGGGAAAATTGGGGAATACTGGAGGACGACTACGTCTCACAAGTACTGCGAGAAGGGTGCAGAGTGCAGCTCAAGGCCACACCACCGTTAACCCTCAGACCGATGGTCTTCAACTATGCAGACGAGCAAGCAGACAAGCTACAAGAAGCCATCAACTCGCTTCAAACCAAGAATGCGGTAGTGAGAATAGATCAACATCATCTCACGCCAGGCTTCTACTCCCCAATTTTCCTAGTACCCAAGAAGAATTCCAAAGAGAAATTCAGGTTGATTTACAACATGCAGAAATTCAACCAAGACTATCTACTCAAACCGGAAAGGTTCAGAATGATCCACCTACCTCAACTCAGACTACTAATTCGTCCAGCAGATTATATGGCCAGCATAGACCTCCAGGATGCATATCTTTACATCCCCATACATCCGGAATCAAGAAAATATCTAAGATTTTTATTTAGAGGTCAGCACTTCCAATGGAACGTCCTACCGTTTGGAATATTGTCGGCTCCATGGTTATTCACACGAAAAACCAAGCCCATAGTCGCCTACCTACATCATCGAGGTCTACGCAATGCCTTTTACCTGGACGACAGCATACAGGTTCATCAAAGTGCCAACCAACTCGGACATCAGCTGAACTTCACAATGAAATTGCTCATGCAACTGGAATGGCTAGTGAACCTGATGAAGTTGGAGTTGGAACCAAAACAAGATCTGCAATTCCTGGGGATAAGATTCATCACAACACAGAATCGTATTGTGACCCCAGAAGATCGTTGGGTCAAGATACAAGCCATGATTCCTCAAGCAGTCATCTCTCTGTTAACACTACGGACATGGCAATGTCTACTCGGTCTACTCACCTCAGCGCAAGACTTGACTCGCACAGGTAGGTTACAACTACGTCCATTGCAACGATTCCTGGCAAAACATCTGGACAGCGTCGACCCTATCTCGCTACCAGAAAATCTCAAAGTGTGCCTACTTTGGTGGACTCACAGGTCGAATGTCTGTGGAGGGACCTATTTCCAAGGCCGGCCTTCGACACACATCTTTACGCAGATGAATCGCTACAGGGATGGGGTGCTCATCTCAACGACCAAGTTGCATCAGGGAAGTGGTCAAAAGCAGAACAGCATCTTCACATCAATCTGCTGGAAATGAAAGCTGTGATCAACGCCGTACAACTATGGTCGAATTCGCTGAGCAACAGAATGCTGATGATCCACACGGACAACTCTACAGTGGCTTTCTCCATAAATTGGCAAGGATCAACAAGATCGCCCTAGCCTACTGCAGCTCACATTCCAGTTGTTCAACATCACAGAGGAGGCAAACATGTGGATAAAGGCGTGTCACATACCGGGAGCCAAGAACGTACTAGCAGACGCTCTTTCCCGACCACTTCATCCGTCACCCATGGAATGGATGCTCCACCCAGAAGCGTTCCGGCTCATTATAAGGTAAATAGGATCCCCATGCATAGACCTGTTCGCCACGAGGTTCAACAAACAACTACAGACGTTGGTTTCATCAGTACCAGACCCCCAAGCCTGGGCAACAGATGCACTGAGCATATCAATAGAAGGAGTAAACGCTTACACATTTCCACCTCCGATCTTACTACTGAAAGTACTGTTGAAGATCAAACAGACACAAGCGGTACAACTGACTTTGGTCGTGCCCTATTGGCCAGCGAGGGTCTGGTTCCTAGACCTAATAGAAGATCTCGGAAGTCCAACCCTCAAACTACCAGAATGGCCGAACCTACTCAGACATCCACAGGAACCCAACATTGTTCCAGCTACACGTGTGGACCGTATCAAAACTTGTCTGAAGAAAAGAGGATACTCCGCCACAGCATCAAAAGCAGTAATCTTAGCGTTACACGGATCTACTCGCAATTTGTAAGACGACAACTGGCAGAAATTTGAACAATATGCAAGGCGGAAGGGCTTCACAGCTATGAAAGCGTCTCATCCTCAAGTGGCGGAATATCTATGTCACCTTAGATATACAAGACATCTGAAAGGTTCGACATTATCCACATATCTGGCAGCCATCAGCACAGTCGTCACTATGAAGTCAGGCATCAAATTGACGAAAGTACCAGAATTACTGGCTCTGCTGCGATCTTTTAAACTGGAGGACCAGCAAAAAAAATTCAGAGCACCAGCCTGGGATCTGAATGTAATCCTACGTCATCTCATGAGCAATGCCTACGAACCTCTAGAACAGACTACCTTCGAGCTACTCACACAGAATACTCTGTTCCTACTTGCCCTAGCCGTGGCAGTTCGTATGTCTGAGATACATGCGCTGGACTTTGGCCAAACTAGATTCGACACGGGGCACCGTGCTGCAGTACATCTAGGACTTAGATGGGACTTTATTGCAAAGAATCAACTACTTGGTCAACCAGATAGACAGTTCCATGTGCCAGCGCTATCTACGATCCTCGGACCAGAGGACACCCAGAACTTATCCCTGTGTCCTGTCAGAGCCTTGAAGATATATCTTCAAAAGACTGAAACAAGGAGACTGACTGACTGACTGAGTTTGGTTTTACGCCGCTTTTAGCAATATTCCAGCAACATCGCGGCAGGGGACACCAGAAATGGGCTTCACACATTGTGCCCATGTGGGGATTTAAAACAAGGAGAAGAAAATTCATGCGCCTATTCATCACCTTGTTGACGGAGACATCAGTGGAGGTCTCAAGAACGACAATAGCGTTTTGGGTGAGAGCCGTTATACTAAGAGCCTACAAAGCAGCAGGATTAGAACCACAAAGAGCTTCCAACCCACACGAAGTCAGAGCACTGGCGTCAACACTTGCTCTGCATGGAAATTGCTCTATATCATCAATTATGGAGGGCTGCTTCTGGAAGTCAGATACGGTGTTTGCCAACCACTACCTCAGAGACATCGCCACCGAAGACGTCTCCGGCATTCACCAGTTTGGGCCTCTTGTAGCACAACAACTAACAGTTCCTCAAAGGTGCTGAGTTGAAATTTCACCCTTTATCACGTTGACTTGTTGATAACTTTTACTATGGAAAAGGTTCTAATTTGAAAGTCCATGCGCACAGTCTAAGCTAGACTAGGCTAGCATGAGTGATTAAGACTCTGTACGGTTAAGATCTTACCTGAACGTAAAGGGGTTGCAACTCATTTATGAAAAAGATCTTATCATAATCTATGGGTTGTTATAGATGACCAGCAAAAAGAAGATCCTAGTATATCTTAAGCCACATGAATCTACAAGATTCACTTGTCTGAGAGAGAAGTAAAACAAGACTGTGGTCCTCCCGAGTTATAACGGAAGTTGGAAGAATAGGATCTAGGAAATGCCGTTACGCAGTTCCCATGGGCAGTGGGGTGGGGTGGGGTGGGGGGGGGAAATGCAGGACGTATCTAAGGACAGCTGTTGAATCCAGGAAGTGGCTTGACCCACCACCAATCCGTAGGATTCTATAAGCAAAGATCATGAGTCAGAATAAGGAAAAATATGTAATGTTTAAAGTAAAATTGATATTTTATACTTATCCTGGCTCATGAGGAGAAGCCCTCTCAACCTCCCCGCTGGAAACGCTTCTGATTTCACAGTAGATCCAGGTGCATGTGCAGAAAAATCGGGAGAGAGTGACAAGTAAGGCTGGTCACATGACTGTTTGCGCGGGAAAAGGGAGGTAACTCCTGGGAGAGTGTATTTTTACGCCCGCTTCAGTAAACTACAAAGGACTCAAATGTTCCAATACCATTCGTAAGGGAAAGGGAGATAAGCAAGGATCATGAGTCAGGATAAGTACAAAATATCAATTTTACTTAAAAAATTACATTATTCCACTGATAAACAAACGAAGTTCGAGTTTTAATATTTCACTCGGACACGTGATAAATCTGCATATTAAACTCGCGAACACATGGTAACTTACGAAATCCCATAAATCCATTACTGTGTATAAGGTACGCATAAGACGCGACGTAGTTTCTCACCATCTGTAATAATTCAATATATAAGGAGTGTTTTTAATATAAATGAAAACACTTGACACTCGTCTGCAATCACAAATATTTTATTGGATTTTCGAAAGAAAGACGTCATTACAATAGCTCAGACAACATAATCCATAGCAGCTCACAAAGGTGACCCAGATCAAACCTGATAACAATTTGAATGTAATAAGTGCTGTTAGTGTCAAAGATATGGAAGGAATTTTGTTTTTGGAGCTTACAGAATATTTGCTGTTTTCGTTGCAAACGCTTCAAACACTATATTTTCAAATACTAATTTACAAGAGGACACCATTGGAGTGAGTGAGTGAGTTTAGTTTTACGCCGCTGTTAGCAATATTCCAGCAATATCACGGCAGGGGACACCAATAATGGGCTTCACACATTGTACCCATGTGGGGAATCGAAACCCGGGTCTTGGGCGTGACAAGCGAACGCTTTAACCACTAGGCTACCACACCGCCCCCAGGACACCATTGGATAAAGGATTCGTAATGACACCATTGCGCTGTGAAGACTTAGAGCGACAGTAAATGGACTTTTTTCGCATTTCAAATCCCTTCGATTCTTGTAAAGAGACACAGGCATCCGTTGTCAATATGACACGAGTGTTCTCTTATGTCATTGTTCTTGCTTGCGCTCCCTCAAGCGAGACTGGCGACAGTTCAGTAAAAATATCAAGATGAGGTTATCACCTCAGCATGGGGGAAGCATAATGGCCTATATGTGTGGGGAAAGCTGTGTATTGTGCTGTGAAGATTTTAGAATGATAGCGATAGTAAATGGGCTTTTTTCTCATTTAAAATTCCGTTCTTAGCGTTCTCATGTTGTGGGAAAGTTTGTCTTCAAAGGTTCATAAGTTGTCAGAGCCTGACCACTCCCAAACGTTATGGATACGTTACTAAGATGAAAACAATCCACGAAACACAGTCACCCTAGGATCAAAAACATAATAACGATTGTCCTATCAAATAATCACAAAAGACTAATCGCTCTTTAGTTGTTAAACTTTAACAACCACCAATAACGGGTGCATATGTTGTTTTGCCGGACATTTAGTTCGACATGAAGGATGGCTGTACATTCTTAAGGTTTGTTTACCCGGTCTGGTTCACAAGATGTAAAAGACACATGCATATGTTCAATGTATGACTGTAACAAAACATATCCAATCTCACTGATCTTAATTACAGGGCGTGTACAATAGAAAAAAGCCAAAGCGTGTCAAATCTGTACCTGTGTCAATGTACGGAGACGTAATGCATGGATGCTCACGGCTCAAGATGAGACCTGTCTGTCTGGATACCAGACTCCAAAGCCAATTCAACAAATCACTACAATTACGCTGAGATGCTTTGACAACACGCACAAAAATCTCCCATGCTTCAGCCGACCTTTCATCCATTGCCTTACACTTGACGTGTCAAGTTACATCTAAGTTATAAGAAAATATATCAAGCTGGAGAACCTACTCACGAAACATGAGGATATGTCCTTTGTCCTAGTACAACCTACTCACGTGAAAAAGTGTGTGTTTTTTCTGTGTTAGATTAAAAAGCAAAGTTATCGGTGCATTTGAATAATATATATCTTCCAATAGGACTAACAAAATTATTCTGGCGACAAATTAGGCTGAATTAGTTGCTGTATGCGTATGACTTGCGACTCTTTACGGAACTCAGTTCGTCCTGCTTATCTTCTTGCTTGCGTCTTTTCTTCATCAGCAGGAAGCACATGTACATGATGACGATGATGAGCACCAGGGTGACGACGCAGACCACGATGATAGCGGGGAAAATCACAGACATATCCAGGAGGCAGTCCTTTGTAGTTGGAGAAACTTCAGTTTCGGCTGGAAAAGAATGATACCCATCTCTTCATTTCATGTATGTGTTTCGCCTGTTTTATGGTGCGTGATCATAGATCTCATCGGCAAGGCCAGACAAAGTACGATAGTAAATTCTATGGTTTACAATTGTACGACGAATAATATGTCTACATTTATTTGCTGACTAGAATTCGGCTTATTCAAGACGATGCATGCAGGTGAAAACGTACAGTTTGTTTGTGACGCTGGCGTGGACTCATCCTCGAAGTAGACAGTGTGGTTGGCTGTTGCCTCAACTCCGCCGGTATTCGTTTGACGCTTCTTCCTGCCTCCGGTTACTCCACATTGTGTCTTCAAACAAATACAAGAGACACATACATACACATGCGTACTTTAAAAGAAACGTCACATCCAATTCCAATGTGAGATGACGTAATACAAACCTAGGGTACATAATAGTTTTTATGATAATATACTGAGGGAAACAAATAAGGGAACACCACTTCATGGCAGTATTCCTTTCTTTATTCTCAGATTTCCTCCCACACCGCTATTCAAAGCTGGTGATGAAAACTAGAAAATGTTAAAGGAACGCTAGAATTTTCCTGTGTTCCTTTATTTGTTTCCCTCAGTATATGTACTGTTTTTATCCAGCTTATATCTCATCAAAAAAGATTGTACACGACGTAAGCTGATGCAACGGCATCCTTAATGGCTAGGGATTTGTATGTACAACCGTAGGCTGCAGTCTAACCTTGCAGTGGAGGATCCCATCACTAACTGATTTGTTTTTGTTTAACGCCGCACTCAGCAATATTCTAGCTATATGGCGGCGTTCTGTAAATAATCGAGTCTGGACCAGACAATCCAGTGATCAACATGATGAGCATCGATCTAAGCAGATTGGGATACGTCGATATGTGTCAACCAAGTCAGCCAGCCCTATCACCCGATCCCGTTAGTGTGCTCTTATGACAAGCATTAGGTACTGAAGATCAATCCTATCCGGATCTTCACGGATCCTCATCCCTGAACAAGAGCATACATGTATATCACAGCTGTATTGACATGAACAGAAAATGGACCATTGATAGATTAAGGCATTTGTTGTACCAGGACGTAAAATAAGGCTTTACACGGTCCAGTGATGTTTAAGCCTTCCCGTCTTATCTATGTTTCCGCTCGATATCATGACGCTCGTTGGGACTTCATTTTATTTCGTCGTCCATGTATCAGAACATACTTTCATCATGTCTGCCTATAAACGTTTACTGACACCTTTATATAAGTTCTGTCCATTTTGGAGTTTGCATCGCCCATATTAGCTCAGTTGTTTTTATGCTAGTTATGTTTTGCTTGTTTTAGACAAACACAATACTGATTATTCTTGGAGCTTTAAAAGATCCCAGTTAGCTAACACAGTTTGTCTTATCGGGCGTCCGCGAATCGGGTATATGAAGCGTAACCCTCTCCATCGTAACCATCTCCATGGTAACCATCTCTAGGCCCCTTCACCGTTTAGGCATCTTGTCGATTGTCTTCTTTGAGTGGCATTTTCGAAGTTGGAAGTCAGAAAGAACAAGTAAGTATATGGATGACAACTTCTTGTATTCTAGAGCACTATGGATGACAACTTCTTGTATTCTAGAGCACTATAGATGACAACTTCTTGTATTCTAGAGCACTATGGATGACAACTTCTTTTATTCTTGAGTCGATTGTGTTGTTAACGACCTTCCACAATGGCACTTGAATGTTAGTCAACCAATCAACTTGTGTGTATATGCTCAAAGTTTGTTTGTCAGAGAACATCGTGAGTGTTGATCCCTTAGATTGCTTGTATTGAAATACTGTCAGCTACTAATAATAAAACTATAATTTTCTACCATGTTTCCCAGCAATACTTTATGACACCCTGATATCAGGACTACAACCCCGCGAAACTGTATATTACTTTTAAAAGGAAGCTATTTCAACCCTGAAATGACTGATATAGGATAACTGTCTTTAAGACGTTATTGTCAATTTGCCTGATAAATATAAAACGTCAATGCTTCAGTTACGGATTACATTTGGCGTGAAGGTCTAAAAAGCTGTCAATAATGAAACCAGGTGTTCGATAAAAGGGTTAACATATTCTACGCTACCAGGAGCACCTGGTAATTCCCTGAATTACAGAAATTCCCTAAACAGTGACTATTTACAGTCCGATACTAAACAGCAGAACTGCCATGTGACGGGGACAATGAGACAGATTCATACCTCATTGTTATTTTGTGACACTCTGATCTCACGGGCACATCCCCGCGATATTGTATGTTACTATTTTTTAAAGGCAACTATCTCAAACCTGAAATGACTGACATTGGATAGTTGTCTTTGGAATATTTCATGTGACAGTTATGAAATCAGGCATCAGAACAGAACTTCTGCCATGTGACAGGGACACTCAAGTGGTCGATGGAACAGAATAACGACTTCCGTGTAGAAATTCAGAGATTCCCCTGAGTACAAGTAAGAAAATACGTGTTTAAAATAGATAACCTCCACGTACCAACTGACAGCTAACTTGATCCCCTGCCAGGCACAGCCTGTATTTCATATCATGGATCACAGCTGCAGGTCCTGGTCGGAAGTAACCTGGCCTGTACCGCATGCAAATCCTCGTGTCACTGACTCTGCTTGGATAGGAGTGCACGATAGCCTTGCCGGACTCGTCGCTGCATCTATAATAAGAACAAATGACCATTCCAATCTTGGCCTCACCAAACATACGTCTACTGATAGTTGCAAATGTCAGAATACTAGATAATGCTTGACCATGATTTTGGGATTGAAAAGTTTCATCGGAAACATTCTGCTGATAAAAGACCACTGCAGAACCCCTCCTGCATTTTATGCAATGTTATTCCAATCCATTTGTATTAAAATGTGTAATACTATTATTAATGTCGTCAGAAAGACTGTTAAAACATGCTGATATTACCACACGAATAAAGCTTCAGTTTTGAATTTAGAAACCTCGTCGAGTTTCACAGATTCATTTTTATGTCAGTAGAGTCAATAATGGTGAAGTGTGAAGAATTTGGGGGTGATTATGGAGATACTTTTGGGGGATTCTTACCCATCATTTCCATACACCACTGCCTCTTTTCGCGAAGAACCCGTCTGACCATTATGGACGATTATTCGGATCAAGCCAAGATATGCGAAGCCTGCAACAATTTATGATTAATGAAAGAGACACAGGGGTGGAAATCAGCTGTTCCAGTTAAATACCGTTGTCAAGTCCATGTCATATGGTCTCGCCACATAGCATTAAAATATTGGTACCATGGCAACCTAGCAAAACACTGACGTTTTATATCTACATTTTGAGAAGCATAATTGTCAACCATTTCAGGGCCATTTACATCATGTCATATCTTGTCTGGTTTGGGAATGACGTGACTAAAATAGTATAATTTTATGACCGGGCGCTATACTCTTGTAACCAACGTACGAAGGAAATTACTACGACATCTGGTTTAATAATACTGTGTGGAAGTCCATGTTCTGAATAATCGTTTTGACAAAGAAGTTGATGATTAGGACGTGAGTGAATGAGTGAGTGAGTGAGTGAGTACGTCACATCGGCAATTTTTCAACCATATCGTGACGAGGATGCTTTGGACGTATGGACTATACTTCCGGCCATGGAACCAAGATAACTTTCTGTTGCCATGCAAGCTTTGCTGATGTAGTCCAGGTTTAGAACAAGACGTAACCCGCCTCTTAATGCCTCTGATTATGTATATTTTTGTCTCCATGTCCGTTTTATTGATCTCAGATATATGTTGGTATTGTATCACAAAAATAAGCAGGAATGACCATTTTGCTCACAGTGACCTTGAAATGTACTGTTGACGGTGGCTTAATATCTTACCACTCAACGTCCGGCATTGCACTGGGTTGAACATAGAACATTTGGCAAGTGCATGACATTGAAACTCCAAGACTAACCAGCATCTAAAGCATATATAGCTATATAACAGAGAAAGTAGGTCACCATGACCTATAACTCAAACCCTTAGATTACCTTCCCATTTCATTGATAAGTTTCCCAATCACATATCCACTACAAGAAATCTATCAAAACGGTCGAAAATCTTCAGAAATGTTCACGGAAGACCCATTTCTATGACCTTGGCCTTAACATAGGTAACCTGATCTGTTCCAATTGACCAACAATACATCTTCGTCACTGTAGAACATAAAGAATATTTCAGGTTTTGCCTGTATTGATGACCTTGATATTTCACTTCACTGATAAATGTGTAATATGCTGTGTCCCAGAGACGAGATAAACCAATACCCGCCGAAATGTCAAAGCGTTTAGTTTTAAAAACTCCGAACTGTTTGCCAGGCATTAGGAGGAGGTCACCGTGACCTAACAGAAACGTAAATCCAAATATCTGACCGACATGAGATGATATTACGTCTCTCTGCATGATAGAATATGATACTTAATGCAATTAATTGCTGACATTTCAATTACTGTTACAAATCATTACTTGTTCAATGAATTCTCATACTATTTAATACAAGTAAGGCATTTGCTGTTATTAAAAACCAAAACCGATTAAACATCATAATTCAAATTAAACTTACCGTTATCCGTTACGTCTAAACACAGTTTGTAGATTTGGTTTAGAGGAAGTGCTCTTTCTATAGCGCGGCCATTATTGAGCGTGGCGGATAGTGTCACACCTAAAAAGTTAACAGCCTCTTGCTGTTTGTCGATATATTTTCTGAAATAACAAAGCAATTCTCCCACACAATCCGTTTTATATCAAACATACAATCCACACATAAACTTCAGATACATTTCAGTTACAAAGACTTCCATATATCTGTTCCTCTACTCACGTTGCTGTGTCTGCTAGGATGGCATCTGTGGAGATGGTTTGTCCTGCTTGGTTGACACAGCATTTAGCGTACACAACTTCATCTGAGGCCGTCATCATGTTAGGGTTGTACTGGATGCGGTATGGAATTGTATAACACACATTCCCATCCTGCTGGACAAAATGACGACACAATGCATTATGGCCAACATGAAATGATGTATTCCTCATCAACGTGACCAACACCACCCACTTTTACTATTTCCCTTGCATTTAATGCATGTCATGGCAATACATGTATGTATGCCAAAATATCTTTCACAAATATACATACATATTAAATCTTACATATTAAGCTGTATTGAATAGAATAGTTCTTAGGTTCATCAACGATGTTATCTGAATGGATGATATGAATCATATAATTATAATAACGTATATGATTATACAGAAACGTTATATATTCTAAATAGAAAATATATGAATATTTATATAGTTCAAGGATGGAACTTTTCTTTTCTTTTACCACGTTTAAGTTTAATAATGTAATTCCGCGGAGATAACTTTAGAGTTCTGTGCATGTAATTCACATGTCGTAGCGATGATGTTAATGCACAGATACGATTAATATCTATAAAACGGAATGTCACTGGTCTTACTGGAGTTACAGCCTTCAGGCATACATGATTGCTTGTTTAAAACGAAATAGGTCCCTTTTTATGATCTGTTTGTTTGCCAACATATACTTTTATTGTTGTAGTAGTAAGATAGCATTTAGATTTAACAATATGCTTTAATCTTTCAGCAACCGCCCTTGGCATTGTAAGTATTGCCACATGAGGCTGTGCTAGAAAATACTGCTGTGCTTCTGTTGTTTCAGTTGCAGGTTTCAGGAAAGCACTATGCAACAATGGACACTTTTTATGGGCTCCTGGTTACCTGTGGTGTGGCGGTGTATGTTCCACACGTGCCACTGAAGCCGACAGTGAGACACTGGCCTTGTATATCCGATGGGATCCTGTTTCCAGAGTCAGTTATATCCCCAACTAGATCGGCGGTGCATCTATTAGAGGTGTAGCCAGAGACGGTGATGAGAGGCCTGTATGTGTTGATAGGGTTCATGCAGATCGTCATCTTGTTGTTGTTACAGGAAGTGATGGTTGCTAGGCATTGGCAATATGGTCATCAACATACGAAGTAACAGATATGATAAGCAACGGTCTATGAACAAATGTTTACGTTTGACAATGTATCCATGTAATGTCTAGTGCTTTATTGTCAGAACGGCTCATGGTTGTCAATAGACACAAGGTCAGATCCTGCAAAATGATCGTATCAATCCAAATACACCTGAGGTACAAATCTGGACAATTATGTTTTGTAGTTTGTTTGTTGTTCAAGAGCCACATTCAGCATTATTGTAGATATGTAACTGCGGTCTGTAAATAATTGAGTCTGGACCAGACTATCAAATGACTGACATCCTAAGAACCTATCTACGTGTATGGGATACGGTGATATGCAACAACCAAGTCAGCGAGTCTGACATCAGATCCCGTTAGTCGCCTCTTACGACAAGCATAGATTGCTGAAGATATTCATGAGTCATCATCACCAGATAAGTGAGTGAGTTTAGTTTTACGCCGCACTCAGCAATATTCCAGCTTTGTGGCGGCGGTCTGTAAGTAATCGAGTCTGGGCCAGACAATCCAGTGATGAACAGCATGGGCATCGATCTGCGCTATTGGGAACCGATGACATGTGTCAACCAAGTCAGCGAGCCTGACCACCCGATCCCGTTAGTCGCCTCTTACGACAAGCATGGGTTACTGAAGATCAATATTCTAACCCGGACCTTCACGGGTCTCATCACCAGATGAAACTTTAATGCCTAATATCATGATGACACTTTCTTCCAAAAGGTAGTGAGGAAACATTTAATTCTGAAGTCACAAGTAACGATGACACGGTATGTGATTGCATTAAAATCGCTCTGGTTTTATGTACAATGATGCAAGTGCCATTCACCATAATCTGTTTTAATTAGATCATAGTAACATGTCTGTATTGAGATCCTTGGACACCTCCAGGGACTGTAATGTGTCATTTCATTCGATTCAATTATCAGCATATACCAGAGAATAAAAACTGTAAAATATGAACATACTTCTCTTGAGTTCGCACTTCCCTTCATCGCCATTGTAATAGCCCGAGTCACATACACATACACCAACTGACCCGTTTGAGACGCACCGTCCGTTTCTTCCACAATTCTTGCCAGAACAGCCCACACCATTGATGTTAGCTGCGATGAACACACAATAACACAAATTACGCAACATGCACACCATTACAAGTTCTTACTAACTGGGGAAAATATTCTCACGTCTTGTACGAAACTACAACTTACATTGAATAATCCCGCAGTTGTCCCCTGTTCTGTCAGGAGCGGTGGAACAGTCACAAGTCGAACCGCTTGGCGGACAGGTCCCCGCATCGCAAGTAACACCGTACCGGTTACAGTCGAATAGAACCGCGCCTGGAATTAAGATGGACAAGCAATAAATCCAACACATGTCCGAAAATCAACGGCCGAGATTTTAAAATGTTTCGGAGATTTGACTTCAGGTTTTACGCGCGGGCACACACGCACGCGCACACGCACACTCGAGTACACAGGAAAGCACACACACCGCGCTGCGTGATATACTTCATGTACTTTCTAGTGTAAAAATATTTGGATATGCGCGTACAATTTAAGGAGAGGAAACTTTAAACCATGAAACTAAAACATTCTATTTCTAGCGGACCATGCACAACCTTTCAAGCCAAGCTTCGAATCCACGTCTAATATTCCCACCAAAAATTGTTCACTGAAGTTTTGTCATTTAGATCCCAAACAATATACAAACGCTTAAACGATCAACATTTTGAAAACGAAATGTGGTAACTCTTCGATTTGCGGTCTGGAAGTTGGAGAGTGTAAATACGAAAACATGCAACTCTCTGGATACCAATTTTTGCTTCACTGCAATAGCAGATTCGTTCGTACCACGGTAACATTCGTAGGCCAATGGTAATTTTAAATAACTGTATATGTATGATAGGTAACAATGAACGATTTGTGGATCAGGTTACATGCATTTTTGTCAATAATGTGCACGTTGTCTTAAGGAATGTGATTTTTGAATGTGGTTAATATTGTTATATATGACTTTATAACACTGTAACTATGCTCTATTGGGGGCGGTTGGGTAGCCTATTGGTTAAAGCGTTGGCTCGTCAAGCCGAAGACTCGGGTTCGATTCCCCACATGGACACAATGTGTGAAGCCCATTTCTGGTGTCCTCCGCCCTGATATTGCTGGAATATTGCTAAAAGCGGCGTAAAACCATACCCACTCACTCACTCACTCACTACGCTCTATTGAAAGTAAAGACTCTAGAATTACATTTCATATATTTCTGTTTTTCAGTGGTTCATTACAGAGGTGTAAAATGTATGGTGTAAGTGAATAATAACACGTTTCTTACCATCGTCGTCGTTGATGCATCCCTTTATGGTGATAGGATCATAACCCGGAGCACTGATTGTAATTGAGAACTCTTCAGTTGACTCGACGACCTTAAACACAATACATACGCCCTACATGCTCATCTGTCCACCTTAAAATCCAGGACAATACAAACACCTCATGACCAACTGTGTCTCCGTCATAAATAATAAAAACTCTACATATACATCCGTCCCTATATCATCTAGGATAATGTAGGCCCTACATGTTAAACCGTCCCTCTCCCATTCAGGGTCATATATACTGCAAACTTGTAGCATGTAAACTTGTCCTCTCTTCGACAGTAATGTAACATTCTAGATACATCTGTCCCGCTCTGGTAGCATAACTTTAACCTTCACATGCCTATGTCAGCACTTACAATAATAAAAGTTTTTGATTAGCATTTAGAGTGAGTGAGTTATTATTTTAACGTCACATCGGCAATATTTCAGCCATATCGTGACGACATTAGTATTTAGAAACTGGAAGAACAGTAACGCATTATACTTATATGGGTGAAGGTGCCTAACTTTGGTAAAGTAGTTTATCGTTCAATGCGAACCGCGAAATATCCGACGGGTGCCAAACTATGGTAATGGGGTTGCATGACACTTTGAAAATGGGGTTGCATGACACTCCCACGTATATCAAAGATACCTCTGCAAATATCTTAATGAATAGAGACCCGTGAAGATACAGGTTAGAACTGGTCTTCAGCAACCCCTGTTAGAACAAGTATATATAAATGACAACTTCTTTTATTCTAGAGCACGACGTTTCGATACAGGTTCTTGTATCGTTTTCAGCCTGTATCGAAACGTCGTGCTCTAGACTAAAAGAAGTTGTCATCCATATATACTTGTTCTGTCTGACTTCTTACTTCTAAAATGCAAATCAAAGAAGTCATTCAGCAACCTCTGTTTGTTGTAAAAGGCGACTAACTAGATCGGGTGGTCAGGCTCTCTGACACATGTCATCGTATCCCAATTGTGAAGATTATTGCTCATGCTGTTAAGTGTTAAACAACAAACCTAATGAATAGTGAGCATGAACGGTCACATCGTATTCACTATCTCTGTCACTTGGTCTCTAAATGTTTGTCAAAAACAGCAAAGTGAAGCAGAACCGTTCTTACCAGATCGTCAGTAATTGGCACTTCCAGGTAAGCATTTCTCTTTCCGTCTAGAAAGGCGAGCGTTGTGACACTGTCGGCGAAGTCGCTGGTTGAATCTGCATCCATGTCTGAGTAGGTCACTGACGCATTCATTGCAAGCGTATCTGATGATGGTCTCCTTATTCGTATGACAAGAGGGGTCAGGCTCTCTTTGACACATGTTCTTGCATCCGCGCTGAAAGCCAGTGGCGCATTTGTCGTCGTGGTTGAAGTTGTCGTGGTTGAAGTTGTCGTGGTTGAAGTTGGAGTTGTCGTCGTGGTTGACGTTGTTGTGGTTGTCATGGTGAGTGGAGGCGGGTCTGTTGATGAGGTATATGCTAGGCATGATAACTGTAGATGATTCAATAAAGATGCAATTAGGTGCCAATGCAAATCAAGCTAGACATTATACATCCATTGTATTAACTAATAGTTCAGTTCATCTGTGAATACAACATGCATTGCTGATATTCACTCACTCACTGTTTAATAAGGGAATTCATGTCACTCGCGATAACATACAAGCTATCAGTTACTGAAAGAGGAGTCTAAACACTGACAGTATAACTGTGTTAAAGGTTGTAAGGTAGTCTTATAATCAACCCTAACTGGCTTTAATTACACTTTACTGCACATCAACAGATATAGCAGAGCGAAACAAGTAGTCGTTCATGTAAAGTATATAAAATGCTCAATACCAGTAATGCAGAATAATACATCAAGTGGTATGTATCCTCCCGCTGTAAACCTTAAAGTGAATGTCTCCGCGAACTCTGAAATCTGCAACAGAATCAAACAGTTAATTACAGTAACGATTAAAGCTCGCGCCTATCTCAACGACATCAATAAAGTCAAATGAATGAAAAACAACTGTCCATCCTTTTATTTACATGTTATGAGGAAGCTGTGGTAATGCCCACACACGTTTTAACAACAATAATACCGATCAATGAAGAGGGTTCTACAATTAAATACAGGATAATCTCATTCAGCCTCTGAATGCTCTAATTTCTACTCTTAGTAACTATTGTTTCTTTTCAAGGACAGATGAGTTTAATTTGCCCTATTTCTATGAGAAAGGTTTCAGAAAACTTCAGCTTATACTAATGAAGTTGAATATTTTAATCTAAAGAGTATGTTTTTTTCAGTGCCGCTCTGCAGTCGCATGATTTGTTGAGACTTTTTACAGTGGTTCAGTGGGACATCTAACAATGGTATTCTGTTTTCTTTGTATCTGTTGTACCTTTTCAGTGATGTTTTGTGTGAACAAACGTGCAAGATTCAAACATTAATTTATCAAGAAATTAGTATGAAAATAGATATCAATAACTCAATACAAACATACCCCATCATCGACAGGTACGATAACTATTTCCAAATTGGGTGGGAAAGCGAATGTTCCGGATTTTCCCATCGGAAGGGTATAATCCGCCGGGAACGTGGCGGAATCATCAAGTGTTTCAATCGTAAATGAAGGTCCAAACGCTCCACCGCTTCGAATAAGATTGAATGAAATTGGAGTTCCCTCCTCAAGTGGAATACATCCCGTTGAGGGCGATAAGTCAGTTGTAAAGGATGGCAGTTGAGCACCTGAAGAGACGAAATATATTGTTCATTGAACGTCGTTTAATAATGGGATAAATCTTAACCATCATAATCTATAATAACAGAATGTATGCGTGTTTCTCCAAGCACTGTTCCATCGAACCATGTGAAACAACAAGGTCAAATCGCTGGTAGCTAATATATAATGCTTGGTAACCAAAGCATGGTAACAAAGCACCACCCCAACGCCCCAAATCGCAATTGTCCTACCATTTACAGGCCTGAAATTCACCTGTCAGTTTTCCTAGGATACCAAAGGCATGTAGCTTTTCACATAATGTATCCAGCAGTTCGAACTAATTCGGATAAGACATTGAATTTCAATACGAGTAGTAACAAATCGATTATTGAGGCCATGTCCCCGTTGGTCTACATATATTAATGGAGCAGTGCTCGGAACAGAACAAATATTCTCAAAAATGAAATTATAAAATATCCATTGAAACGTAACTAAAATGTTCTTTACAAAGTAGCATGGTTACCGTGGTATCACGTCAAAAACAAAAGCTGCTTGACCATTGTAAATCTGGCAATGTTGGTTTTGGGAAAGCAGATATTTCCAACTATACCAAATACACCTTGATATACCTCGGGTTGACGCATTTTAAGTTTTGACGCTTGACACCACAGCTCTATCAATGAGTAAAGGAGTCAATAAAAAGGTGCCAAACATGTTATATCTTATATCAGTGTACTATGGCCATCTGACTGAAATTTGCATTCGTCGTTGAACGTCAGATGACCATGGATTTTGATAGATGACTGGCTAAATTGCCCTCCTCACCATCAGGTAATTTACCATGAAGCTCTTTAATATCGCGTGAATCCCTCCCAATTATTAAGACAATTCAGGATTCGATGAAGCATCATCCTAATGAAACGTCAAATGTCATTCCATCGCATCCTTCCTGCAGGGCAGCGCCAAGTTCGTTGAGAGTGGTTGGTGCCATTTGATGTCCAAGGATATCCCAGAGATATCCGATGGTGATACATCTTGACTGAGTGCTATCCATGGTATCCTGATTATGATCTCATGTTGGAGGTGGTCACTAACAACACGAACCCCGTGTGCCCAGTGATACGTCCGTGAATAACATGTAAAGTTAACCGCAGGAAAAAGATCATTCCGTCTCTGTTGCGCCAGCCTAAGAAGTAGGCAGGTTCCATCTGTATCATTGATAACACGTGGACGTCGGACATGGAGGTTCCATCTGTTTCATTGATAACACGTGGAGGTCGAACATGCAGGTTCCATCTGTTTTATTGATAACACGTGAAGGTCGGACATGGAGGTTCCATCTGTTTCATTGATAACATGTGGACGTCGGACATGGAGGTTCCATCTGTTTCATTGATAACACGTGGACGTCGGACATGCAGGTTCCATCTGTTTTATTGATAACACGTGGAGGTCGGACATGCAGGTTCCATCGGTTTCATTGATAACATGTGGACGTCGGACATGTAGGTTCCAACTGTTTTATTGATAACACGTGGACGTCGGACATGCAGGTTCCACCTGTTTCATTGATGACACGTGGACGTCGGACATGGAGGTTCCAACTGTTTCATTGATAACACGTGGACGTCGGACATGTAGGTTCCACCTGTTTCACTGATAACACGACGACGTCGGACATGGAGGTTCCATCTGTTTCATTGATAACCAGTGGACGTCGGACATGTCGGTTCCATCCGTTTCATTGATAACACATGGATGTCGGACATGTATGATCCATCGGTTTCAGTGATAACAGGTGGACGTCGGACATGCAGGTTCTATCTGTTTCATTGATAACACGTGGACATCGGACATGCAGGTTCCATCTGTTTAATTGATAACACGTGGAGGTCAGACATGGAGGTTCCATCTGTTTCATTGATAACACGTGGACGTCGGACATGTAGGTTCCATCTGTTTCATTGATAACACATGGAGGTGGGACATGTACGTTCCATCTGTTTCATTGATAACACGTGGACATGCAGGTTCCATCTGTTTCATTGATAACACGTGGACGTCGGACATGTAGGATCCATCGATTTCAATAATAACACTTTGACGTCGGACATGGAGGTTCCATCTGTTTCATTGATAACACGTGGATGTCGGACATGCAGGTTCCATCTGTTTTATTGATAAAACGTGGACGTCGGACATGTAGGTTCCATCTGTTCCATTGATGTTTGATTCACAACAGGTTCCATCTGTGGATAACGCGTGACATGGACATGGAGTTCCATCTGTTTCATTGATAACACGTGGACGTCGGACATGGAGGTTCCATCTGTTTCATTGATAACACGTGGACGTCGGACATGTAGGATCCATCGATTTCAATAATAACACTTTGATGTCGGACATGGAGGTTCCATCTGTTTCATTGATAACACATGGAGGTCGGACATGTAGGTTCCATCTCTTTCATTGATAACACGTCGACATCGGACATGCAGGTTCCATCTGTTTCATTGATAACACGTGGACGTTGGACATGTAGGTTCCATCGATTTCAATAATAACACTTTGATGTCGGACATGGAGGTTCCATCTGTTTCATTGATAACACGTGGACGTCGGACATGAAGGTTCCATCTGTTTCATTGATAACATGTGGAGGTCAGACATGCGGGTTCCATCTGTTTTATTGATTACACGTGGATGTCGGACATGCAGGTTCCATCTGTTTCATTCATAACACATGGTGGTGGGACATGTAGGTTCCATCTGTTTCATTGATAACACGTGGACATCGGACATGTAGGTTCCATCTGTTTCATTGATAACACGTGGACGTCGGACATGTAGCATCCATCGATTTCAATAATAACACTTTGATGTCGGACATGGAGGTTCCATCTGTTTCATTGATAACACATGGAGGTCGGAGATGTAGGTTCCATCTCTTTCACTTGATAACACGTCGACATCGGACATGCAGGTTACATGTGTTTCATTGATAACACGTGGACGTTGGACATGTAGGATCCATCGATTTCAATAATAACACGTTGATGTCGGACATGGAGGTTCCATCTGTTTCATTGATAACACGTGAACGTCGGACATGAAGGTTCCATCTGTTTCATTGATAACATGTGGAGGTCAGACATGCAGGTTCCATCTGTTTTATTGATTACTCGTGGATGTCTTTGATTTGATACGTCGGACATGCAGGTTCCATCTGTTTCATTCATAACACATGGTGGTGGGACATGTAGGTTCCATCTGTTTCATTGATAACACGTGGACATCGGACATGTAGGTTCCATCTGTTTCATTGATAACACGTGGACGTCGGACATGTAGGATCCATCGATTTCAATAATAACACTTTGATGTCGGACATGGAGGTTCCATCTGTTTCATTGATAACACATGGAGGTCGGAGATGTAGGTTCCATCTCTTTCACTTGATAACACGTCGACATCGGACATGCAGGTTACATGTGTTTCATTGATAACACGTGGACGTCGGACATGTAGGATCCATCGATTTCAATAATAACACTTTGATGTCGGACATGGAGGTTCCATCTGTTTCATTGATAACACGTGGACGTCGGACATGAAGGTTGCATCTGTTTCATTGATTCCACTGTTTCATTGATAACACGTGGACGTCGGACATGAAGGTTCCATCTGTTTCATTGATAACACGTGGAGGTCGGACATGGAGGTTCCATCTGTTTCACTTGATAACACATGGAGGTTGGACATGTAGGTTCCATCTGTTTCATTGATAACACATGGAGGTGGGACATGTAGGTTCCATCTGTTTCATTGATAACACATGGATGTCGGACATGGAGGTTCCATCTGTTTCATTGATAACACGTGGACGTCGGACATGTAGGTTCCATCTGTTTCATTGATAACACTTTGATGTCGGACATGGAGGTTCCATCTGTTTCATTGATAACACGTGGACGTCGGACATGCAGGTTCCATCTGTTTCATTGATAACACGTGGACGTCGGACATGCAGGTTCCATCTGTTTCATTGATAACACGTTGATGTCGGACATGGAGGTTCCATCTGTTTCATTGATAACACGTGGACGTCGGACATGTAGGTTCCATCTGTTTCATTGATAACAACGTGGACGTCGGACATGCAGGTTCCTCATGTTTCATTGATAACACGTTGACGTCGGACATGCAGGTTCCATCTCTTTAATTGATAACACGTGGACGTCGGACATGCAGGTTCCTCATGTTTCATTGATAACACGTGGATGTCGGACATGCAGGTTCCATCTGTTTAATTGATAACACGTGGAAGTCGGAAATGCAGGTTCCATCTGTTTCATTGATAACACGTTGACGTCGGACATGGAGGTTCCATCTGTTTAATTGATAACACGTGGATATCAGACATGCAGGTTCCATCTGTTTTATTGATAACACATGGACGTCGGACATACGGATTCCGTCTGTATCACTGATAACACGTGGACGTCGGACATGCGAGGTTCCATCTGTTTCATTGATAACGCGTGGACGTCGGACATGCAGGTTCCGTCTTTTTCATTGATAACACGTGGACGTAGGACATGCAGGTTCCATCCGTTTCATTTATAACACGTGGACGTCGGACATGCAGGTTCCATCTGTTTCATTGATAACATGTGGAGGTCAGACATGCAGGTTCCATCTGTTTTATTGATTACTCGTGGATGTTGGACATGCAGGTTCCATCTGTTTCATTCATAACACATGGTGGTGGGACATGTAGGTTCCATCTGTTTCATTGATAACACGTGGACATCGGAAATGCAGGTTCCATCTGTTCCATTGATAACACGTGGACGTCGGATATGTAGGATCCATCGATTTCAATAATAGCACTTTGATGTCGGACATGGAGGTTCCATCTGTTTCATTGATAACACGTGGACGTCGGACATGGAGGTTCCATCTGTTTCATTGATAACACATGGAGGTCGGAGATGTAGGTTCCATCTCTTTCACTTGATAACAC